CGCAAAAAAAAAAAAAATACAAAACATTTCTTTGATCATTTCTCTCCCTTTTTTTTTTTTTATCACCGGCCCCTCCCGCGCGACGCCTTCGGGATAAAAACAAAAGATTTCGGACACTTACTGAGCGGCGCCGGCGGGAGCGGCGGAGCCGGAGGGCGCTGGAGGAATTTGGGGGGTTTTCCCCATTTCTGGGGAGTTTAATAGAAAAAGGGGGAAGGGGGAGGGGCGACGGCGGCGGCGCCTGAAACGACAGAACCCCAAAACCCCCCAAATCCCCCCAAAATTCCCAAACCCCCGAGGGGGGGTGGGGCCTCACCCGGCCGCTTCCTCCGGCTCCGTTTGGGGCATTTTCCTCAAATTCCTCAATTTTCCTGGCTCCGGGGCCCAAATCGTGATTTTTCTTCCTTTTTTCCTCCCTTTATCCTTCTTTTTTTCATTATTTTTCGCTTCTATTTTCTCCTCTAAATCCTCTTTGATTTTCTCTCATTTTTCCTCTCTTCTATTCTCTTCTATTTTCTCTCTTCTGATTTTTCCCTGTTTTCTTTCACTTCCATCTTCTCAAATTTTCAGCACTTGGTTTTTTCTTTTTTTTCTATAATTTTCTATTTTCATTTTTCCCAATTGTATTTTGCTATTTATTTACAGTCTATTTTCATTTTTTATATTATTTTTTCTATATTCTTCTATTTTCTATTTGTTCGATTTTCATTTTTCTAATTTCTTGTATTTTCTCAAATTTTCTAATTTTTTTTCTAGTTTCTTGTATTCTCCAATTTTCTTCTCTTTTTTTTTCTATTTTCTTTTTTTTCCCCATTTTTCTATGCTTTTTCAATTTTCTTTTTTTCAATTTCTATTTTTTCAATTTTCTGTTTTCTTTTTTCTAAGGTTTTTCTATTTTCTTTTTTTTCCCATTTTTCTATGCTTTTTCAATTTTCTTTTTTTCAATTTCTATTTTTTCAATTTTCTGTTTTCTTTTTTCTAAGGTTTTTCTATTTTCTTTTTTTTCTGATTTTCTTCTATTTTCTCTCTCTTTTATGTTCTATTTTCTGTCTTTCTGTCCTTTCGTTTCCTCTCTTCTCTCTCCTCCTCTCCTGCCCAACTGCCGCCATTTTACCAAAAAGTCCTTTTTTCCCCCCAGATGGGGCCACTGCGAAGAAAAACTTTTCTTTCCCTGCCGACTCCATCTTCACTCTTCAGTTTTCCTGCTCTTCCCTCAAAATTGGCTCCTCTCAATCCATCCTGAGCCTGAAAATGCCGCATTTCACCCCAAACCGGCCGCCCCCGCCTGCGCTGCCCGGCCCGGCCCCACTTGGGGACAAAACTACATTTTAAAAAAGCTTTAGGAGCTTTTTTTAAAAAAAATTAAATTTATGAGCTTTTTTAGCAGAAAACAGCGTATCAAGCGCTTTTTCTTTCTTTAAATTAAAGAAGCTTAAAAAGCTCTTTTTAAATTAAAATCGCCCCAGCTCGCTCCGGCTTTTTGAAAATATCACATTAAGATATTTTAAGAATTAAAGAGCTGCGAGAGCTGCCTCTTCTCCCAGAAATCGGCTTTGAAAGCAGCGATTTCTTTAAAACCAGCATTAGAAGCTTCGGTTTAAATGAAAACCAGCTTTAAGAGCTTTTTTAAGGTTTTTCATTCATTTTTTTCAATTAAAAGCGCCCCGGCTCGCCCTGGCTTTTCCCATTACTGGAATCGCCGCAATTTAAGGATTTATATTGAAAGAAAGCAGCTTTAAAAGCTCAGATTTCCTTAAAGGAAACAGCTTTTGTCTCTTTTCTTTAAATAAATATTTAAGAGCCGCTTTTGTGAAATAAAGCAGTCTTGGGAGCTCTTTCTATAAAATATCGCAGCTTGAAGAGCTTTTCGTAGGCAATAAAGCCATTTTTTGAGCTCTCGGTAGGAAATAAAGCCATTTTAGGAGCTTTTTTTGTATAAAATGGAGCAGCTCTAAGCGCTTTTGGGCCGAATTGGGGCCGTTTCGGGGCTGCTTCTCGGCCGGGCGCTGCCGGCGCGGGGCCCTGCCTTATAAACGGCCCGGCGCCGCCCCCGCGGGGGCGACAAAATAGTCCCTAAAATCACCAAAAAAGGGCAGCAACCCCCAAAATCCCCGCACCCAATCCACCACCCGCAGTGTGAAAAAGCTCATTTTTTCATGATTTCACTTTTTTTACCCCTTTCTTTGATTTTTTCCCCTCACAAACCGCGCCACCCCCTCCCCCCGCGGCCGTGGGCCTTCGGCCGCCCCACGCGGTCCAGCACAAAAACGGTTAAATCGAACGGCGATTTTTCGTTTGGTTTGGCCAATTCTGCCCTAAAATCCCTCGCTTCGACCTTCCCGGGTGATTCTGGAGGTTTTTTGGTTTTTAGTCATTCATTTTACTCTGGTTTTTGCTTTTGCTGCGTCACGGGGCTGGGCCGCTGCCAAAAAGGCGCCGTTTCTCCTCAAAAGGGTCACAAATATTGGGGGGAAAAAAAAGTTCTTGAGGGAACACAGACCCAAAGCCCAATTTTCACCAGTTTTTGTTCCCCAAAAAGCCCAAACAACACTTTTTAAACCCCTTTTCCCACCCTGATATAGCACAGCCCTAACCACTATTTTAATTTCCTTTTTTACGACAGAAATGCATCAAAATCTCCGTGTTTCACCCCATTTCAGGCCATGCTGAGTCATGGAAGTCCCTGTTTTCAGTAAGGGGAATAAACCCCCACTATTCTGAGGCATTTTAAGGCATTATTTTGACATTTTACGGCCCCTTTTTTGACATTTTGAGGCGTTTCCGGGCAGGAAATGACACCCCAAAAGTGCTGGCACAGGGAGGGGACAACCCTCCCCCCCAACCTTTTAATTATCATTCATTAAAGCTGCTCTGGGGCTAATTAAAGGTGCTGATGAAAGCGATGAGGCATTTTGGGGGTGTGGGAGGAGCTGTTCCGACATTTTTGGGGCGTTTCCTATGGGAGAAAAATTTCCTTATTGTTATGAATTATTTTCTGGGTATTTCCACCATTAAGGCTCTCAAATGTAATATTTTATCCCCATTTCAGGTGCTGGAAAAGGCCTTCCCTAAAAATGCACTGATTTTAGGGAAGCTTTATCTCAATGGTCATTTTTACAGCAGTAATTCACCCATTTTCAGCTGGTTTAAGCCCTAATGTAAAATTTTAAATAATTTTAGCAACTCTGACATGGCTAAAGTTCATGTTTTCGGCATGAAAATACCCCAAAGGCTGCTTTTTCCTCAGGAGCTGAGCCTGGAGAGGCCATTTTAAAATATTTTCCCCTGGAAAGATGCTCTTCACGAAATCTTGAGTGTTTCTTAGGAAAAAAATAGAATAAAAAAATCAGTTTTAGATTTTTTTTAAAGCTAGGATAGCACTAAAGCTTCTCAAGAGCCTCAACAGCACTTTAAGGTGAGTTTAAGCCATTTTTGGGGCACAGGACACAGGTTTTGCCCTCAAAAATCACCACTAAGCCAAACCCTGCAGCTTTTCAGCTGCTTTTTAAGCCCAAATGGCCGCTTTTAAACCCGAAGTGGGAGGCGGCCCCTCCAGTCTCCCTTGCCCCCTTTCTTAATGGGTTTTTGAGGCAAAACCAACTCAATTCTTCACTCTAAACCCACCATTTCCTTAAGGCTTCCCAGCGTTTTAAAACCCGACACTTTTCAGCGACTTTTCACACAAAAATTACCTCACGAAAAGGGGCGCGAGCAGGGGGGAAACTTCATCGCGTCCCCTCCGCCGCGGGGCCCCCTCAGACCGCCGCTAAATGGGCACAGACCCCCTCCCCCACCTCGCTCCCCTCCCCCACAGCCCCGACTTTCATTCCGCCCCTCCCCCACGCCCATTTACAAGCAAAAAAAAAGAGATTTGGGGGCGGGAGCGGCGGCGGAAGGATCCGGCGGAGGGATCCGAGGTGAGTCGGCCGCGGCCATGTGAGGCGCGGAGGGATCCGCGCGCGGAGGGATCTGAGAGTGAGGCGCCCTGGGCGGGTCCGCGCGGAGACCCCGCCCCTCACCAGGGCCCTCCCTTGGTTTTGCCGCAGTCGCCGCGGGGGCGGCGCCGGGGGCGGGGGTGCGGCGCCATCGCTCCGTGCGCTCCGCATTGGGCGGGGGAAGCGCCGAGTCACCTCCGCCGCGTCCGGAGAGACTGAACAGTTAAAAAAAAAATCACCCTTTTCTCCTTGGTTTTACCTCAGAAAAGCCCCAGTTCCTTCAGGAAAATGTCTTTTGCCTCAGAAATGACCGACTTCCGTCAGAAAATGACCGATATCCCTGAGAAAATGTCTGGTTTCCCTCAGGAAGGTCTGATTTTACTTCATCAATGTCTCATTTCCCTGTGAGGTGTCTGGTTTGTCTCAAAAATGTTTGATTTCCCTCAAGAAGTGTACGATTTGCCTCAGAAATGTCCTATTTGCACAGAAAATGTCTTTATTTCCCTCAGAAACGTCAGATTTGTATCAAAAATGCTTCATTTAGCTCAGAAAGTTCCCCATTTGCCTCAAAAATGTCTTATTTCCCTCAGAAGTGTCAAGTTTTACTTCAGAAACGTCTTATTTCCCTCAGAAAATATCATTTTATTCGGCCATAACCCGCCCCCCCCCCCCCAAAAGG